TTTGTCCTGCTGATGGGGTGCCCTCTGCCCACCCCAGGGCCCCTGCGGCCGGTGCACTGTCTTCATCTCTGGGCCTCCCCATCTGGCCAGGGAGCCTCAGCTTGTTGGGTGACGTTGGAATGGAAGCAGTGAAGGAGGAGGGCCGGACACCTGGGCCCTCCCCGCTCCCCCGACCCCCAGGCTCCCGGTCAGCCTTGGGGCGGGCCGGGCTTGCCAGTGACCAGGCTCTGCAGTCTTCACCTAGTAGCTTTCAGGCCTCTTCTCCACCCTGAGCCTGGAGGCCGGCAGCCTCCTCAGCCCTCCCCCTCCTGGCCCCCCTGGGTGAGGGTGTGTGCTCAGAGCCTTCTGGGCAACCTCACGCTCATCCCCACAGACCCAGTTCAGCCTCCCAGGACCGAGGGGGGTCTGGGCAGCTGGGTGCAGCTGGGCTCCAGGCCCTGCGGCCGTTCAGTGCCGCCCTGGAGCTTCCGGCTGGTACTGCACAGCAGCCAGGCCGAGCTGCCCAGTGGGAGGAGCGAGAGGGCGTGGCAGAGTGAGTCAGGTGGCCGAGGGTTGCGAGGGGTGGGGCTCGCTGGGGACGGGAGGGTGGGGTGCAGACAGCACATTCACCTCCACCCCTGACCCCATCTCAGCCTTCAGACGCTGGCTAGAATTCTTTTCTGACTCGCTCTCTCTCCCACGCTGGGGTCAGGAGCGCCGTGAGGTCCCCACGCGGGGACTGGCCATATGTCTGTAGGTCTCTGATTCTGCAGATGTCGCGTCCGCCTCTCTCCCCAGCCCTTCTTTTACTTTCTGCAGTTTTCCATATTGCAAACACAGTGTTGGGGTGCCTGTCGTGATCGCCAGTCTGGACTTGACGGAGGCTGGCCTTTAACAGGCAGTTGGATCTGGAGGCCTCAGCTTCTACTCAGCTTTGGGCTCCCGACTCCTGGCCCTGCCTGGTCCTCCATCTGTGACCTGCCTCAGACCCCGTGCTGTGAGCTGTAGGTCAGGGTGGCTGGGCCGGCTGTGCAGGAGGCCGTGGAGTGGGGGTGAGGCTGCTGCTAGCGTCCTGGTGTGGAGGGTCAGCTCCTGGGAGGGGAGCTTTGGCAGCAGGGGGCGACTTGAAGCCCCTCTGCGGGCATCTTGCCTCTGTCCTGGATCTGGCGGACCCTGAGCGCAGTGGCAAGCTGCCCCAGGCCCCTGGGCAGAGGCAAGGGAAGGCCAGACCTGGCCAGAGGAAGGCGCCTTCAGCCGCCACCCTACATGCTGCTCTGGGCACCTGCTCAGCCTGACGTTCCCCTGTGGAATTGACAGGCCCAGCTCTAGACCACTTGAGAGGTGTGGCTTTGGGGTTTCCTTGCTGAATTGGGTTTCTGCTATGGGCTAGGGCACCCTCAGTATAGCCCCGGTAGGGTGAAAAGACGGTGGAGGACCCTCCCAGGTGGCGCAGCGGGTTAAAGCACAGCACTGAGAAGCTGAAGCCGCTTCCGCATGAGTTCGATTCCCGCCTGCCCCGGAGGTGACCACATGGCGCGTCAGACCTCTCCTGACCCGCCCGCTGCTCCCCTCAGCAGTGTACTTCGTCGATCTGTCTTATGTACCCCACTCTGTCTCTGGTGAATCCTCTCACCCTCCGCATCTCTGGCCTGTACCCCAGTTCTGTTTGCACAAATAAATACATCTTTAAAAAAAAAAGACGGTAGCCACCTAGCTGGTGGGACACTGCCATCAGAGCCTTTCTGGAAAGAGCAGGGATAAGCAAGAGCTTGGTAAACAGAAGCAGGAAGTGGAGCGTTTAGTGCATCTGCTGACCTGTTTAGACATGCCCGTCCCCAGGCTGCAGAGGGTATAACAATGCTGGCTGGTGTGGCATGGGGGTGCCACTGTGGGGGGCCCCGTAGGGGGGTGCACCTCCAGGCTGGCAAGAGTTACTCCTGGGAGCCAGAGCCCGAGGGGGCTGCCAGATGGGGACCACCTTCCTGCGGGAGCCAGGCCAGGGTGGACAGTGATCGAGGGGGACTTCATGCTGCCCAATGATGCCCCCAACTCGCAGCAGCCGGGCAACCCTGGCCGAGTTTTTAAACCTCCGAGCCTAGGTTTTGTCCTCTGTAAGGTGGACATAGTTGCTGAACGGAGGCCAGCTAACACTTACGTAACACTGTCATATGCCAGGCCTGGTTCTGAGCGCTTTGAGCTATGCCACAATAGGCCACTGAGGAGGGACCATTGCTCTCCCCTGTATAGGTGGGCAGGTGGAGGCCCAGAGAGACAACAGAGGCAGCTCAAGGCAGGGATCACGCTTAGTGAGATAAGCCAGAAAGACAAAGAAAAATACCGGATGGTTTCTCTCACAGCAGGAACATAAAGGACCAGGGGGAAAAAAATAATGAACCAGAGACTTAGTGCACTGGACTGTGGTGATGGCACAGGGTGATCTGGTGGTGGGAAGCCCACGGGGATGACAATTGAGATGGAAAAAGGCACAAAATGATATAAAAATAAACTATTATATTAAATTAAAAAAATTAAAGTGCTTCCTCTAAAATAATCACGAACATGTTATTAAAATAGAGATCAAAAAAAAAAAAAACAAACCAGCTCAAGCTCACACCATTACTGAGTTATTCAAATCCCAGCTGCATTAACATGAGGTCGGTAATTGTTATCGCAGCTTCTCTGGGCTAAGGGTGCAGCGAGAGTAAAGAAGTGTTTAGCACTGAGCCCGGGGTTTGGTAGGTGCTGAGAGGCCACAACTGTGGCCCGTGGCAGGCAGGGCAGCGGCCCGTGGCACAGCCGAGCAGCTTAGCTGCGCCAGGCTCCGTGCAGGGGGGGTGCCCAGGAGGATGCCGGCCGGCGGCGGGGGCAGGCAGCAGGTTCCACAGCTAATCTCCCCGCAGCCGGCTGTCTGGGTGAGGCACGCGGGGTTCCGGCTGGGTGCAGCCAGCCCCAAGTGCTCTTGGGAGCTGGGGGCATCTTGGATGCCGGGGGAATATACATCCTCTCCCAGCCTGCACCCCTGAGGGGCCGAGGGGTTGCTGGGGGAGGGCTGGGACACAGAGGTGAACGAATAACTGAAAAATAGCCCATCAAAAAATTTTTGATCATATGTTGATTAACCTTTGTCCATATTGGGTGAAATAAAAATATCTCTCTTTCCCTGTATGGCTCTTAAAAAATATGGTTGCTAGAAAAGTTCAAATTGCATACGTGGGCCCTCCCTGGAGGCACAGTGGGTGAAGCATTATGAGGCTCTGTAGCTGCTGTAGCACGAGTTCGATCCCCGGCCAGGGAGCTGACCGACACATGGCTGGCAGACCTCTCCTGTCTGCCCACTGCTCCCCTCAGTAGTGCATTTCAGTAGATTGCCTGCCTGTCTCTTCTGCACTTTCAGCGCCTGGCACCGAGGAGGTGAGTGAACGCATTAGCCCTCACCGCCAGCCGATAAGCCTGGCGCTGCTTCTCTCCCCATTTCAAGATGAGGAAACTGAGGTACAAAGAGGAGAACACTGCCCAGTTATGGAAATGGTAAAAGGAGGTAGAGTCGAGGTTGGGGGTCCGCAGGCTGCGAAGTTGAGGGCTGCTGGGCCTGGGAGCTTTGCGGGTGTGCCCTGGCGGTGCCCGGCTGTGCCTCGGTTGGGCCCGGCCTCACGACTGCAGGGCCCCTGGCCTGGCGTGAAGCTTGGGCTCTGGCTGGCTGAGGGGTGTATGAGCAGAGTGGGGCAGATTCTGGGGGCACACCGGCTCGCAGAGCGCTTGGGCAGAGAAACCCCAAGCAGTTCTCAGGGCAGTGATGGGCATGGTGCCTGGGCAGCCCCAGAGTGGCCTAGCTGTGGGCGCTTGGCCGGGGGTGAAGCCTGTGAGGTGGCAGATGTGGGGGCCACTTCCCTGCTGCTGCCAGGGCCCTGGGTGTGCGCTCTGCCTGGCCTCCCACGGCCACACACGGGCTCTGGCCCTGGACGCCAGGCTGCGGCTGACGCTGCCCCACAGCCCCGAGGGCCACCTTAGCAGAACTTTTTGACCGTGATGGTGACTTTGACCCCTGTGCTGACTCTGGCCGAGTGGACCTGCCAGCTCGTGGCTGCACTGAAGCCGCACCCTTTCCTCCTCTGCCAGACACGGGGATGCGGACAGGGGGCCTCACCCCACAGGATGCCGGGATGCAGAGTGGGGAGGCCCAGCAGACTGCTGTGGGGTGCGCCAGCCTCGTCGGCCGGGCTTCTCGTGAGAACGTGTCCCTTAGTATTTATTGCATTGTTTTTGCTCCCAGAGAAGCTAGTGTTGTCTGGGAACCCGAGAGGCAGATTATAGGTCTCCCTGCCTTCACCCGGGCTGGGGGGGTGGGGCGCGGGCCTGTCAGAGATAGAGCCTGTGGTCTGGATTGCGGGATTGAGGGGAGAACGCAGTGAGAGGCTGTTCCGGGCCCACTGGTGCCCTGCCCCGGCCACCTCCTGAGGGACCCCGGCGGCAGGTCCCCTGAACACGCCAGCGGGCACACGAGGCCCGGTCTCCCTGGGAGAGGGGCCTCTGGGACCCTCCCCAGGCTCCACGCAGCCAGTGAGGAGGAGACCAGCCGGGTGACGAGAGCGGCACGGGACAGGTCAGCAAGCCAGATATGGCGCGTGACTGCTGGCTGCCCCGTGTCCCCCGCCAGCCGGTCTGTGGGCTCTGGGCTCGGCGGACATGGGCCCTGGCCCCTCACCTGCTGGTAGATGGTCTTCATCAGCTCCACGAAGCTCTGCAGGCCTTTTAGCTTGGTCTCCAGTTCGGTCCGTCGAAGACACTCGGTGTCCAGGTCCTGGGGGCGGGAGCAGCGCTGAGATGGGGAGGGGAGAGGGGCCCAGGGCAGAGGCGGGGGTGGGGGGCCTGCTTCCTGGGTGAGACGCGGGGTGGGGGTGGGGGGATCCCCAGGGAAGAACAGGCAGGGTGTGGGCAGGGGCCTCGCTGGGTGCTGTCTGTGCCCGGGGACGCTGCCTCTGAGGCTTTGCCTGGGGCTCAGGCGGGAGAGAGGACAGCGGACTGCGGGGGGAGGCCCAGGCCACGTGGGGGGTGCCCAGGTCACATGGCGGGGTGGGGGGGGCCGGCCGTGTGCAGGTACCTTTTTCAGCTGCACGAAGGTGAATTCCATGTCTGTGCGCTTGGAGATCTCGTCCTCATACCTGGAGGCGGGGAGAGGGGCGGACAGGCACAGGGCTGCTCAGCTGGGTGTAGCAGGGGCGTGGGGCTCGCTCAGCCCCCCGGAGGGGGTCTGCTGTCCTGCGGGTGCCTTGTGCCAATTAGAAATAAAGGGCGCACTTCCTGCAGGGGATGCAGCCCCTCATGTCCTATGACTCTCCTCCTCCGACGCCCCCCTTCGCGCCGACAGC